CCGGCAGCTCCGAGGCCTGAGCCAGGGTCGGGGTCAAGGTCAGAGTTGGGGACGGGGGTTGAGGGGACGACAGGGGCTCCCGTGGCGGCGGCGCCGGTGGGGACCCTGGTTCCGCCGCCCCTTCCTGGGCCCCCGGGCCGCAGGCGCTGATGCGGCAGCCCGGCATCCCCCGCCCCCAGGCGGTCTGCAGCCGTCGGTCCCGGGGTCTGGCCGGCTGCCCCAGCCAGACACCAAAGAACGGAGAGATGCGGCCGCAGCCCCCGCGCCAGCGCAGCACCGGCCGCCAGTGCGTCTTATAGAACACGGGGCGGAGCGATGGACAGCACAGCCAATCAAAAGCTGGCTTGTCCAGAACCCGCCTCCCCTGCCCGCCAGTTCACCACATTGCCTAGAACCTTCAGGTCCTTCAGTCCTGTTCTGCCATGCCAGGCATCCGGTCCCTACCCATCTCCCCGCAAAAGTTGGGTGGAAAGAAGACCGCATCCTCTCTGTTCTGGCTCTTGAGTCATAAGCTCTGGTAACTGGTGCTTAGAAATCATGGACTCCAGTCTCTACCGAGCACAGGGTTTTGCCTGAGACCACACTGTGACAGTGAGAGCCTGGACTAGAACTCAGAAGGCTTGACTCCTTGCATAGTGCTCCTCCCGTACCGCACGCTGCCCCTCAGTCGAATCGGTTCTGCCTGGTCTCCTGGGTCACAAACTCACCAGAACGCTCTTCTCCAATCTCCCTGGGGCAGTGGAGAGGTTAACCCAGACGGGCGACTGGTCGCAGTGGGAATCTGGCCGGTTTGGTTCCCCACCGGGCAGACCCTGCCCGAGCAGAACAAACCACAGAGCTGCCGCTGAACTTGGCGCGGCTTTCTTAAACCCTGACGGCCGCCCAGAGGAGGCGCAGACCCCACGGTGTGCAAAATTCTTTCCATGCCCCTGCTCCTGATTGCTCCTCCCAGTAGATGTCCCCACACCATTACACTGAGGGGAAACAGAGCCAGAAGGTGCAGGGGTGCTTTCCCCAAGGTCACAGTGCAGGTTGGTCGCTGAATCTGCCCACTGGATGGAACTAGCTCAGCCATTCATGTCCTCTGTGGGCTCATATACCTGAGTCTTCTCACTGTCATCGGGGGACCCTCCTCAAATGAGACCTTAGTCATCTAGCAAAATGATAGAACATTTTGGCCATTTTCCCCACAGCAGAAATGAGCCCCCGATACCTGCTCCAAACACTGGCTCAGATGCCATGGCCCTGCCTCAGTTTTCATCTACTTGAAGGTGCCATCAGAGATGGGAGGTCTCTGTGGTGGGCCAGATAGAGGTTGGAGGGCCAAAAACCAGCTCAGACTCTGGGTTCAAAGGGACCTGCCAAAAGTGTGGCCAGTGTGATTACTGCCCCAGCCTGAAAAGAGGCAGATGGCAGAGCTGCACTGGCTTGATGTAAAGAACACAGTGGAGC